GAGATCTTGGATTCCAGTAATGGCTGCCGTTAGCAGTCCAGAGGTATATAGTCAAAGGTTTTGACAGAGCGAGAAAAGGATAAAAACAGAAAGATATACTGTGGTAACGCTAGGTAACTTGTGGTTACTTGTTTATTTCACGCATGCGCACTCCATTTTGGCCAACACTAACATCAAAGGTGGCGACAGAGAGTTGCGCTACTGTATATACTGTGTCTCTGGTATCTAGGCCTTTACTGGCCTCTACTGGAAGCACAGTCTTTTGAAAGTGAAACCGAGTAGATTGACAAGTATGGAGAGATGAACGATCCTAGTTGGTAATGCGCATGACCGTAGAGAGATGCGCGCGCAAACGAATTAAGCTGGAAACACAATAGACATAGGCCCGTATTCAGAACGCGCTTACAACGAGGTTAGCACGCTAACATACTATACTTTACGTCACGCATATTATAGAATTTCAGAGATAAAAGTGCGCTTTTATCGATAAAAGCGCGTTCTAATACGGGCCATAGGCAATAGGCACAGGTAACAGGGAATAACGAGCTGTCCAATCAGAGCTTTGGGGTATAAGTTCGATATTATATCGGACGGTTTGTTATTCCCCATTGCCTGTGCCTATTGCCTGTGTCTATTGTGTTTCCAGCTTTACACACGGCTGCCAGTTGTAGTACATTGAGTACATCTGATATATGAAATTAAGGTTAAGATGAAATGACTGATGAAATCTAATTTATAATAAGAAAAACTTTGAAGTGACAACTGCCAAATGACAATTTATACATTTATCAACTAGTGAATAAAAACGTGTGAATAATAAATAATATATTTATTTATTGATTACCAAACACAATATAAGTTTTATATATTTGTGCTGATATAATTATCTTTTTCGCAAATTTGTTTATTTGTATGATAAATTCGAATATTTAGATATTGTTTAATAACTAGTCGAATCAGTTCTATTCTGTGATTAAAAAACAGATCTTGATTTGAGATGTGTAGAAAAGTTCTTTCTCAGTAAATACAGATGTATTAACGAGTATGAAAATTTTATTGCGGAATTGTGTCATATCGATGCTTTGCAACTTATTATATTTTCTATTGTTCTGTAACGAGACTCGCATGTGTGACAAATTGATTGGACATCTTTCTATTTATTTTTTGTTTCAATTCTATGATTCACTTTACCATTAAAAATACTTGTATGGTCATTTCAGCTTCTTCGGATATCATCTTCTTATCTTTCAAATCTGTTAGTAGCGATTGCAAACGGTCAATTTTCTTTTTCATTCGTCGCTTTTGCTGATTAATACGTCTAATTTTGTGCTTATATGACAATAATTTACTGACTGCCAAGTTGAAATGTCTTTTGGCACGGCGTGGTGTATCGAAACCATGTTCCATATCAACTTGTGAAGTGTGAACTGGTCGCCATCTCTTCTGCTTCACTCGTGATTCTTGTCCTTTAGTCGATGTCACTTTAATATCAGGTTCCATTAAATCAGAAGTAAGTTTGATATCGCTTACGACTTTTTCTTGAATTTCTTTTTGCACTGACATAATTGGAACGCATGTATTAGTTGGGCTGAACACAAATGTTGAAGAATCTTCTTGTGGATGTAATTCTTCAGAAGTGCTGGCAATATTTGGACACTTCATGATTATGTCATCTGCATCTTCGCTGAAGTCTAGTTTCCTGAAAACAACTGAGGGCAGTAGTATGAACAAATTGCAATACACATATAATGCTACAAGAATTAAATACAAGAATCAGAGGCTACAGATATTACTCTATCTATAAATAAAGATTAAAGGGTTAAAAATCTGCTAAAATCGAATTGTACACTTTAAATACTAAAAAATTACCTTTTTGTTGGTTTGTGAACAAGAAGTGTAGGTATTGATCCCTTCTTTAACTTCCTCCTTCCTTGCTTATCCTTCCTTGTATCAACGTAGAAACATGTGTCTTCGAAATGCTTCCCACATATCCTCGTATATTTCATAATATCGATCTCTTTAAATCGAAATGCAGTCAACCACTTGGTGCGAAGTTCTGTGTCTTTCGGAAATCTATAATAACACATAATTAAGTTAAAAGTACTTCATTTCGGAGATGGACTCAAATGTGAAGTATTTTGACTCAAAGTTACTTTCTAATATTTATAGCACACTCGTTACAGTTTCTACCATCTCTATTGAAATAATTTGATATAAAAGAAAATTTAATAGGCTTATTTTCAAGTTAAATAAAAATAATAGGAGTATACAATTTTCACAAAATATTTGCGGGCATTGCATCATGATTTTGTTTTTAATTTTGAGTGCCATAATAAAGTGATCTGGTGATATTGCCCTTCAATCAAGAAGAATTTGATGACTTATTGTCACTTATTTACAATAATTAAAGAGCAATTACGAAATCTAACCTCCAAACTAACATAACTAAAATTCCGTATATTCATACAATACTCACAAATAATTAAACTTACAAGTGATGTGTGGTCACCCGATCTTTTTCTCTGCAAATGTAGCAGTACATTTTTATCATAAATTGTTTCTTACAATTTTCACTAATCTCCAACTAAACGGTATACTTTATTCTGCTTGAGCATCCACCGCGCACGCGCATATATATGGAGCATGCGCGTTACCAACTAGAATCGTTCATCTCTCCATCCTTGTCAATCTACTCGGCTTCAGCCGAATGTACAAGGATTATAGGCCTATGCTCTTTCCAGTAGTATATGTTCTAAGGGGTAATCTTGCTACTTACCCAACAGGTAAAATTTACCAAAAGGTGGAACAACCGGCCCTTAAGGCTTAAAACACCTATTGTAGATCTGGGATTACCCATAGCCAGGGTTGGGCACGTATCAAACTCAACGTACTCATACGTGGTTTCATACATGGATGAAACTATGTATAATACATCATAAGTTTCAGCCATGTAGTAAAATGGCGCTGGTCGCGTGCACATCACACCACATCACACGAGCACAGAGGCTGCGGTTCACTTGTAACGTAACCTCAAACTATATTATACTGATTTACATATTCCAAATCTACAAAATAAAACAAATAAATACTAAGCAAGTAATTAGCAGTCATGA